GTGTAGGTACAAAACAGACAAAATAAGAGTAATAAATGCAATGGACATGACTTAGAAAGAAATATCCAATAAATATGATCATGTCCCAGTCTGAGTAAAATGAAATACAACTGATGTCAGGAATAAAGGTGAAATAGCTCAATACATAAGAGTCAACTAAAAATAGTACTAAGGCACACAACCTTTACAAAATGAAACAAAACTCTAAATGGCTGAAAGTAAATATTAAACTACGGTGGAGCACCAACTACTATAAATAAGTGACGGCGACTATACTGTAACCTGTCAACCTGCAGCTCTCTGGGACTCTGATCCGCTGCTTGAAAAGAAGGGAAAACAAAAAAAGAAAATAACAACAACGTTAGAGCGTTTTAGCAAGATCATCTCCATCCGCCCCCAGGGGAAGGGTTACTCAATGTAATGGAGGCTCTATCTCTTATGTATAGTCTACCTAAATTATTTACCATGTATCTAAATGAGATTAATATTTAAAAACTCACAACACGAGGCGTAGTACGTCAAGCGAAATAATCCAAACAAGAAAACCCTCATGTATATATCATACGTCTCAAATTGTGAATCGCTAAATATCAATTCCAAACTAAGAATAAAAGATAAAGAAAAACAATACAGAAAAGTAAAGTTGCCGCAATATCATAAATATCGACCATATAATTCGCGCTACCCTTGGGTAGATGATGTTGATACAAGAACTAAATCTCCTGTAACTCCCAAACGCGAAGTTATCGGTCACAATATAACTCAGCAATGAATCGTATTCATAAATGGCTTCCGCCAAGGACTCAGGCTATCAGATATATCACAATACAATATCTCGTAAGGCATTATAACTCATTGTATTATCATGTGGAACAGACTACCAAATCAGATATCCTAAATATGTACATGGCTCATTAGTCTCATCACATCACCGTGCGGAACGGACTACCACATCAAGTATCCTAGAAGTACGGCTCTCTAGCCTCATCGTACCACCGTGCAGGATGGACTATAAAATCAGGTATCCTAAAATCACAACTCAATGGCCTGTACTAATGGCATATCGACGCACTATCCCATGTAGTACTGAGCTGTGCTCATCAACAATATCCATACATGCATACATGTTATAATTAATTGTTAACTCAAACATGATCGAAACAATACCTGTAATAATCATCTTCAGGATATCTGTGTATGTGCCACAATTCTGTTTGTGTACACCCATGGTTGCACACGTGTATCGTCGTACATCTAGAATCCCGCGTTCACGATTAAACATGCAAGAAAAGTCATCACAAACAAAACAATGTGTCGGTCGACCACTCTAAAGCATCGGTCGACCGATGACAAACGTGCACAAAATGCACTGTAAGAAGACCTCATCGGTCGACCGATTGATCCTTATTGGTCGATAGGCCAGAAAAGGTTTAAAAACCTTGGCGACACAATCGGTCGACTGATCTCTTGGGATCGATCGACCTATTACACTATCTCGGGTTTTCTCAGGTTTATGTGTTTTGTAACTTGTCTCGAAAACAAAATTTTGTTTGCATGCAAAGCAAAACATGATTTAAACTTTCGTAATTACTTAACAAAGGTTAACTTAACATGATTAAAACTCTCAAATTAAACTAATTAGGGTTTAACATCCTAATAAACCAAGATTCTCAAGTAAGGTATATTTTATAAACATGATTAATTCTGATCATTCCATAGATATAGATTTGTATAAACAAGATCACATCGCCTAGATATCATAAACATAGGGTTTAAACATTTTAATTAGCAAAAATTCATTTAAAAGATTAAACTAGGGTTTTTAAACCATATTAAAACATGAAATTATAAATTTAATACGATCCTACTGATCATGATCAACTATTCTTATTAAACAGAGATTAAAATTACTCATTTTTTAGATTTAACATCACAAACTAGGTTTTATCACATCCGATTAAACTTTAAACAATAGATTAATCAATTAAACACATTAAATCATGAGTTACTATAGGGAAATATTTGGAGGAAGATGATCTTGCCTCAAACGCTGTGCTGAAACTCCTAAACACGCGTGCGTGCAAGATCCTCCTTCACCAAGATCATGAATCCTGTCTTCCTCTCAACAAATACCTCAAGAAAACTCCCAGAAACTCACAAACTAGGGTTAGGGTTTTAGAGGGAAGGTGGCTGCTGATATATCACGTGAAATATGATCAAAAGAGGTTTAAAACAAGTATATATACTTAGGTATACAACTGGGCTCAAAGCCAAACAAAACCGACCCGAAAACGAAACACTGGAGCTCTAGAAGCCTGTCGGTCGACCCGCCACAAGGCATCAGTCAACCGGTTGGGTATCATCGGTTGACCGATCGACCTAGGCCGATCGACCGACCAGAACGCAGAATGACTTACAGTTTTGTGTTCGTGCATGGTTTTGTGCCTGTTTACATCATTGGCTCAGAAAAATACACTGAATCGATTTCAAATCGATTACTAACATACTCAACCATTAATAAATGATATTTATCACAATATTACTCATTTATTATTATTTATTACTATATATCAAAAATTATGGGGTTTACATATATTTTCTTTATATTTTATCCTGCAAACTATATGAAAAATAAATTTGCATAAGAAATACCATTTAAATTATGCTCCTGTCAAATGTTTAATATATATAAAAAATTAATTATACATTTTCTTCCCACTCTTTAAAAAATACGCAATAAAATGTTGTATTCTAATTTGAGAATATGTATTTAGAAAATTATTCAATTTTACATCACATCATTGTGTCCACTACACTCCTAATTACAGTTAGGAATTTTCATTCCTCGGTACAATATTAGGGGTATACTTAAAACTCCAAAAATCAAATGAGGGTAAGTTGACTCCTCACTCATTCTTTCTCATCTAAAAATATAGGGGTTTTTTATGTATGGCCCCGACATTATATCTATTTCTAAACTTGCCCTCCAAATCATTATATTTTTAAATATATTCCTCAAATTGATTTGATCCTCCAAGTTTCCACCATCTATAAATACTATTAAGTTTTTAATACTTTTGAAGATTAGATTACATCTTTACGTTAAGTTTTTAATACTATTAAGTTTTTAATACTATCAAGTTAACTATTAAGTATGTCCAAACATTTCCCCCTTTGAAGTTACCAGATGTTTTCTAACTAAACTTTAAATCAAATCTCCACTTCTACCCGAACCTCCGTACTGTGAATAGCCGCTCTGCCTAATTGAAATGAAGAAACTCGACTTTAAAAAAAATGAGTCGCAAAAGTTACATGTCCCGAATTGGGGTTTCTGTACAGAACTGGTTGGGTTCTTATTTCTTAATAGGAGAAATTTTTAAAACCAACCATTTTTAAAAATTAATAGGCAAAATCGACCTAAACTGATTAATATTAGCAAAACCGACCCTTTTCAGAAGAAAAAGGTCGGTTTTGCAGCGGAGGGTCTTTTGCGAAGTGCACGGGACTGCTAGTCCCGTGCACTTGGTGTTCAGCAAACGGCTGCCCTATCTGCTTAAAAGTCGGGACTGCTAGTCCCGACTTTTAAGCAGAGAGGCCACAAATTACATACTGATTTCACCACATACTCATTTCAAATCAAACAAATCACATCACACCACAAACTCCCACTAACAAATCCAACATAATAACACCACAAACTCCCACTAACAAATCCAACATAATAACACCACAAACTCCCACTAACAAATCCAACATAATAACACCACAAACCCACTTAGAAATCAAACATATCACACGATATTATCGACTACAAATCCAAAAATCACATCCCTAAATAGTTTTGTAATGTATATAACCTGTAGTTTACATACATCCAAGAACTCTCCTCCTCCTCCTTTGTCTTCGTCGTCCTCCATACCGCCCTTCGACGAGTTCGTGATCCGGTTGCGTTTGTGGTTGTGACGGTCCAGCTCCATCGTCGACACGTTGGGAAGGTCCAGCTTCATCGTTATTTCTGCGTCGTCCTCGACTTTGTCGCTGTTGTCGTGTATATACGAATGACCTTACCTCCCGTCCATCATGACGATCTTCGTGAGTTCGGTGTAAGGCTTGTTGAAGCCTCTGCATTATAGCCTGATATATTGATACATGTTCATGTGCTTCGGGATTTCTATCTGCTGCGATAGATAGTTCAAAAACAAAATTTCATATTAAATTTGATATTACAGAATGTAAATTTGAGATTTAATTTTATCGTACCTGCTCGAGCCAATTCCAAGCCACGATTTGCAAGAGTTTGAACTTCATCTATTGCTGATACCTGCAAATTTTTCAACACATAAAGTACCAATAAAAATGGACTTAAATCAAAATATGAAAGTACTTACTAATTCTCTCTCATCTATACCCCGGGGCACATATCCTCTTTGCGACTCAACCGGTATTGTGGTCGAATGAAGTATCCATCTTCGGGTTATGTCCCAATACCAAGTGTAGTAATCTGATTCCCGAGGAGTTGGTTCAATTTGGTTGACAATACAAAAATGCCTATCATTCCATCTGTGTATAAAAGCTTGATGCACGATCATCCAGTTTATTTGTTGGCCTCCTTTCTTTGCCTTCCTCTCTATCTTTTCAACAAACTGCGGAACATGTTGTGCAAGACCATATTGTCGAAGCACGCGGTCCGGTACATGCATTTCTACTATCTCCAAACATATAAGAGGAACTCTAGCTCTCCATACAACTTGGTATTCTGTGCATATTGGGGGTAGCTGAGGTAGAAATTGGGTGTAGGGCTCCCATTCCATCTACAATAATTTATTGCAGTTGCATATCAGAATTGGGTTTTCAGTATGTAGAAAAAAAAGCGCATGTTTTTTGGTGAGAATTACCTGAAAAATCTTCATACGGTCAAGTTCATTCCGGTAGAAATCCAATTGTCTAGCCGGGGTCTCGTCATAGCATTTTTCGACATTCCATCTACAAAAAAATGTTTGTCATACATTTAGTACCACAATGATAACTACAATTATATTCGCTACATAAAAAATACAATACCTGCATCCCAGTGGAATTTGTCTATCTAATTGTAAATGCGTGCATAGTCTCGGTTTCAAATGAAGTCTCTCCCATGCCCATACTTGCAATAAGCTTAGACACCCTTTAAGCTCACTGTTTTGCATAAGTGCCACTTTTGACATCTCTCTATATAAATACGCCAAAACGGCACTACCCCACGATTTTGTACCACATACGTCCAAGTCCTCGAGGAGTGGTAACCACCTAGCATATTCACAATATTCCAATTTATTAAAATAAGCTAATTCAATGAAATACAGATTCATATTATAAATACACATACCTCGCATGCACTTTATCTTTACTTGAATCTGGAAATAATATAGTACCAATCATGTGCATAATGTATGCACGTGCATGTTGGTCAACCAAAATTTGTGGGGCATCAACAGGCAACGGTACTGAGAAGGTCTCTCTCAACCACTTCAACTTAATAGTTCCTCGAGGCATAGTCTCTGGAGCTACACCTAACAACTCCTCACATCTTCGAGGCCATACATCACTATCAGTGCCGGTAATGCACGGACCATCTATACGGAGACCGAGTATCACGGCTACATCTTGTAGAGTAATGGTAGCCTCGCCCATCCGGAAGTGGAAAGTATTGGTCTCAGGTCTCCATCTATCCATCAACGCGATCAGTAGGGGCCAATCGAGCTTTATCCAACGAAGCTTTGAACAAGTCAAGAAGCCGGCCCGTCCCACAGCTGCTATGATACGCTCATCCTCTAACCGCCAACGACTATGGCTGAGGCTATGATCAACCATAACGATACTCAGACCTCTCTGTACAGCAAATGATAGTATAAAAATGCAATATTATGTAAATGCAAATACTGCAATTATAAAGTAACTGAATTACCTCTGTACAGGATATAATATGTGAACGATGCTGAGCCTGGTCATATAAGACCTCATCACTAACCGGCCCAGGATCCATGGTGTACAAACCTGCACATACAATTATACACATGTCAATAATCAATCATATAGTAATTCAGTTTCTTTATTAAAGTATATAAAAATAAAAAAATGATATAAATTACCAATTAGTTGCTATCTATTGTGTCTAGATGGACAACGAGGTCGAGTATGTCCCGGTTGTTTGCAAAGACTACATTTTTTGTGCTTGACCACTCCTTCTCGCCCTTGATCCATGGTTCCCCTAATTCGCACAGATCGTGGTCGGCCTGCTTGTCTCCGGTACTGAGGTGGAATTATACGTGGTCCATTATATTCAGGCCAATACCGACTATCATCAGGTGGATGAAAACTCTCACTATATGTCTTTTGATAGTGAGCTGTTGAATACCAAGGCGAGCAATACCGATTTCTGGGAATTCTAGCACCTCCCGGCTGATTAGAAGAAGCCGCAAGCACATGTGCACAGGGTATTTTTTGGAGTTGTGGTATGTTACATGTGCAAGTGCAATCAACATCAAATAGTTTAATGGTGTAGATACCGTCACAATCCTGTACCTGCCATTCGTTGTCGTTGAATACGGTAATTTGACATGATCTTGCTGCCTTAATTCTTCTATGCAAAATGGACTCATTTTTTGGTGTGTAACGTGTTGTCCAGTCTATGCCATCACCACACCTTTTGTTGAAGTATGCGTTTAGTCTATAGAATGTTCTCGCAACCAAAGATTGTATTGGCATAGCTCGTGCTCCTTTAAGAACGCCGTTAAAGCTCTCGGAGCAATTAGTCGTCATCATGCAAAACCGCACACCCTCATCCTTACATAATGCCCACCGATGCTCGAATTGAGGCTTCAAGTTATTTTCAATCCAATTATGTGCATCTAATGACAAAGACTTGATTTTCTCCCTGCAATGTTCATACACTAATGTGTCGGTCGCACACCCGGCTTGCCACAAAAGATTTTGCAAATTAATCTCACCGTGTTTTTTCTTGAAATTATCTCTTATATGCCTTAAACAATATCGATGGTGATGTGGTGCACTAAAACCCTCATGTAACGCCCTTATAATTCCTTTCATCCTATCCGAAATAAAGGTAATTATTCTTGGCGCACGGACACTTGGAATCCACTTGTATATAAGTTCAAAAAACCACTTCCAACTAGACGTATCCTCCACCTCCACGACTGCAAATGCTAGAGGAAATAACCCGCCATTTGCATCTACACCGGTCGCTACAAGAAGCACGCCTTTGTACTTTCCATATAAATGTGTACCATCAATGCTCAATAGCGGACGACAAAAAGTGAAGCCCTTAATAGCAGGACCAAATGCCCAAAACACGCGAGTGAACCTCTCCATACCCGGTGCAATCTCTTCGGATAATATTTCCTATTCAGTACCCGGATTATTTTGTTTGATAGCTTCAAGATACCAAGATACTGTGGAAGTAATTCATATGATTTTTCCCAATCTCCAAAAATTTTAGACAACGCTTTCCTCCTTGCATCATATGCCTTATATTTAGATATCTTAATCCCCCGCATGTCATATACCCTCTGAAATATCTGACCTGCATTCAGATCAAGTTCAGCTCTAACTTCAGGCATAATTAGCTTACATATATAAGAAGAAGATGCAGAATAATCATCGACATCCACCGACGGGTTGCAACATGTGTGAAGTCCGCAATATCTACATATTACAAATTGCCCATTTGATGATTTTCTCACGGCAGCATTTAGCAACCAAGGACATTTTTTATTTCTCTCATCTTGCTCATTTACGTTCTCTACTTCATTCTTATCGTTAAAGAAGCATTTCACATTGTAGTTTGTTGCATTAGTTTTTACCGGCTTGAATTTGACCCGATTCTTGATGGACCATTCTCGGATTGCAAAGATCAGTGCATCATTGCTCTCGAATAGATCCCCTTTTTTAAAGTGAAGTCCTCAGGTCGTTGTAAATTTGGCCCAACATCAACAAATCCAGCTTGAGAAGTATTTATCCAATCCTCATTATGAAACTCGTCGGGCAACGGATCTTCAGCTTCCACATAATCATTGTTAACGTTAAATTGCTCCATCCAATGGGCGTCATCATCGACTCCAGCTGCCACATGCATGCTATCAATTTGCACACCATCTTCTTCAAAATGATCTGAATCATCATCTGCTTCATCTTCTATAATTGTTCCGACTGGTGGGTAACCCGTAACATGACCTGAAGCGTCGTTAAATATATTAGTTGACGTCCCACCGATAGAATACCCACTTAAATGTTGTGGTTGAGACCATGGCTCTTGACTTGGAGATGTCATAAAACCAATCGACTCGTTGTCTAAGTCAAGCATCCGAGAAAACTCTCCTTGAGGTCGTGAAACTTGGGCAGATTCCTGAATCGGATACTTCTCAATAAACAACTCAATTGACGCTTGCTTCTCGACTAATTGTTTCATGTCATTCAATTCCTCATCTTCGGTAATCTCCACGGCAATAGTTCTACTCTCATTTATCGGACAGTTGAAGAACACCCTAATTGTATATTCTTCTTTCTTAATTTTAGTAACTCTGTGTATTTCCCTAGTCATTCCATCAAAATTACACGACTTAGATAGCATGAACATTTTCCGAGAACCTCCATCATACACCGGCAAATTATTCACTCCGACGCCGAGGCTCCCATTAAAGAAACAAATAATGGATATGGAGTTCGTCATCGAAACTGAAAATACACAGTCCATCATATGCAAATAGGTGGGGGTCGATGGTGTCGGCGGCGCGACGAGGTCGGAGGGCTGTCACGAGAGCGGCGGACTGGTCACGAGAGGAATGAACGAAAAAAACCCTAGCCCGTGCAAATGGCGGTGGTCGGCGGCGGTGATCGGTCACGAGAGCGGCGGATGGTCACGTGCAAATGGCGGTGGTCGGCGGCGGTGGTCGGCGGCGGGGGTCGACGAGTCGAGGGTTTTTTTTTCTTCGGGGGAGAGTGGTCACGAGAGGAATGAACGAAAGACAGAACAAAAGAATGACGAAAAGAAAGGGAGCTGGTGGGTTAGGCGGACTGCACGGGACTGCTAGTCCCGTGCAGTTCCGTAATTGCAAAAACGACCCTTTTCGGTCGGTTTTGCTAATTAATTTGTGAGACGGTCGATTTTGCCCAATAAAATTGAAAAAATTGCTGTTTTAAAAATTTCTCCTTCTTAATAACGGGTCGTACGTTAGTAGTCTAATTGGCCTTTTGCCTTTTCTTTTTTCCTTGATTTTCTTAAAAACTAAAATAGGGCAAAGATGTAGTTTAACCCTACAAACCATTAAAAATCTAACTGCAGTTAAGCTCAAGGGGTAAAATTGGTTGATCACATCAACTTGAATGGTAAATTTGAAAATATAATAATTTGGAGGGCAAATATAGAAATACATATATTTTGAGGAATATATAGGAGAAACCCAAAAATATAATAGAAAAAGGATTCTCTAGAGCTTGATCATCTTGAAATTAAAAGGGGGAAAATGCCTTTTTACATAAGGCTCACAGAATTTCATAAACCAACTAAGGTTTTTTAAAAGAAAATCACAATATATAAAATAAGTAGATTCAAGAGTATAAAAACATATTGCAGTTATTAAATCTAAGATACAAATTTAAACATGATCATTTAATGCATACTCATTCATTCTAAATTATAGAGTGACTTATAGTTTTGGGATAACTGTCTATAATTCTTTCACATTATCGTGGAAAAAGGATTATAGACAATAATTTTACTTCATATATAGTATAACACAATGCAAAATTCTATTGCAATAACTTCATTCTCAGATCTCAAGTTTATTATTTTAAAATCTATATTTTAAAAATTATATATACTTTTGTGACAGACTTAAGCTTAAAACACCAAAGTTAAAAATAGATGAAACTTCAGGAACTCAATAATAAGTAAGTAACCCCATTTATATAAAAATAGGATAAGAAGATTTCAATACCTAGCATGTGTATATGCATGTATTGCTTGTTGATTTAATATTAGTAGTTCATCCATGTCATGTCCTTCTTTTCATACCCTCTTTTTCTCCTTGTATTATTGAACTAATTCTTAGTTTGTTTCCTATAAAAAATAATAAAAATTCTTAGTTTGTCAAATTATGAAAGACTGCTTCCCATTGTGGTGACCTGGATAATTGAGAGGTTTTAATATGGCTCCCACAGTCTTGGGTTCAATTTTGAGTTAAGTTATAAAAAAAATAAAAGAAAGACTTAGTATATATAATTAAACTATGAGATAGTTGAACCATAAAAAAATCGTTTAAAAGACTCTATAGATGATCAAACAAAAAGATTTTTTTTTTTTGAAATTCATGCCAAAATAAATCTAAATAAGAGTTTACAAAGTTCAGAATAGTTTTGTGTAAAATCTCGCAAAAGTTCTAGGGGTTTTGTGAAATTTACCCCCCTTACCACCCATTCTCCTTAAGGGTGCAAAACTTGTTCGTATTCGAGGAAATAATTGTATTTGTATATGTTAGGATACTATATGATTATTAAATATCTTTCTTTGATAACATGGAGTGGTCATAGAGATAGAAATGTAGTGAAATATCTAGATCTATATTCAAAATATCCAAATATATGGTTGTCATACAGTTACAATAGTTCTAAATCCTAATTATAATCCTTAGATTAATGAATTTGAGGTTAATTTTAATGATTAAGAAATATAATCTTAGATTTTCCAGCATAACAAACATATTAATGAACTCTCTTGTATTATATGAACTTTTTTTTATATTGTTTGTTTTCTCATATTCAT